TTGTCCTTGTGAGTGTCTCCAAATCTTCCCTGTCCCCCTGTCCCCAAATCCTGCCTGTCCCCAAATCCTGCCCGTCTTCGTGGTTGTCCCCACCTGTCCCCAAATCTTCCGTCCCCCCCAGCCCCAGGTCACTCTGTGTCCCTTAGGCCACTCCGTGTCCCCCAGGCCACCACCACATGTCCCTCACACCCTGCGGTCACTCTGTGTCCCCCTGAGGTCACTCTGTGTCCCCCCCAAACCCCGAGGTCACTCTGAGTCCCCCCGAGGTCACTCCATGTCCCTCAGGTCACTCTGAGTCCCCCCGAGGTCACTCCGTGTCCCCCCCAAACCCCGAGGTCACTCTGAGTCCCCCCGAGGTCACTCCATGTCCCTCAGGTCACTCTGTGTCCCCCAGGCCACCACAACATGTCCCTCACACCCCGAGGTCACTCTGTGTCCCCCATCAGGAGGTCACTCTGTGTCCCCCCGGTCCCTCCGTGTCCCCCTCACACCCCGAGGTCACTCCGTGTCCCCCAGGTCACTCTGTGGCCCCCTCACACCCCGAGGTCTCTCCGTGTCCCCCCCAAACCCCGAGGTCACTCTGAGTCCCCCCGAGGTCACTCCGTGTCCCCCAGGTCACTCTGTGGCCCCCTCACACCCCGAGGTCTCTCCGTGTCCCCCCCAAACCCCGAGGTCACTCTGAGTCCCCCCGAGGTCACTCCGTGTCCCCCAGGTCACTCTGTGGCCCCCTCACACCCCGAGGTCTCTCCGTGTCCCCCCCAAACCCCGAGGTCACTCTGAGTCCCCCCGAGGTCACTCCGTGTCCCCCAGGTCACTCTGTGGCCCCCTCACACCCCGAGGTCTCTCCGTGTCCCCCCCAAACCCCGAGGTCACTCTGAGTCCCCCCGAGGTCACTCCGTGTCCCCCAGGTCACTCTGTGGCCCCCTCACACCCCGAGGTCTCTCCGTGTCCCCCCCAAACCCCGAGGTCACTCTGAGTCCCCCCGAGGTCACTCCGTGTCCCCCCGCTGTCCCCCGGCCGCCCCCGCCTCCCCTCCCCGTCCCCGCCGTCCCTCCGCCCCCGCGGGCTCTGTCCCGCCGTTCCCGGCCGGGGGGCGCCGGGCGAGGCCGGGGATTGGGAGCGGCCTCCAGGCCTCTCCCTCAGCCCGGCCCCCAAGGCGGGACACGGGGGGGTGAGAACCGGGCAACCCCCCCCAGAGCCCGCCGGGCACCCACCGCTACCTTCGGGCCTTGGGGGGGCTCGCTCGGAGCCCCCCGAGGCCGCGGCAGCCGCCGGGGCCGGGGATGGTGGCGGGAGCGGCCGGAGCGGGGCGGCGGCTCCGGGAGGAGCCCTGACAGAGCCTCCACCATGAGCGTGAGGCCTCCGCAGGCCCAGGACAGGTAAAGCCGTGAGGGGAAAAACCCCGAGTCGGGCACGGCCAGAGGGAATTTGGGGACATTTGGGAAAGATTTAGGGTGGGGAAAAAATAAAAATGGGGAAAAGGGGAGGGGGTTTGGCTCGGGGTGGAGCCGAACGCCCCGGTTTGTGAGGGGAGGGGGGGGGGCGGACACGGGCAAACCGGGATTTGTGGGGAAAAGTCTGGGATTTTGGGGGGAAATTGTGGGATTTTGGGGTTTAGCTCGTCCCGGAGCCCACACCCCGTCCCTGCAGTGTTTTGGAGTGAAAATCTGGGATTTTGGGGTGAAAATCTGGGATTTTGGGGCTAAGACAGGGGGCTGAGCTCATCCCGGAGCCCTCAACCCATCCCTGCAGTGATTTGGGGTGAAATCCTGGGATTTTGGGGTGAAAATCTGGGATTTTGGGACTTAGAGAGGGGGCTGAGCTCATCCCGGAGCCCTCAATTCATCCCTGCAGTGATTTGGGATAAAATTCTGGGATTTTGGGGTGAAATCCTGGGATTTTGGGATGAAATCCTGGGATTCTGGGGCTAAGACAGGGGGCTGAGCTCATCCCGGAGCCCTCAACCCATCCCTGCAGTGATTTGGGGTGAAATTCTGGGATTTTGGGGTGAAAATCTGGGATTTTGGGACTTAGAGAGGGGGCTGAGCTCATCCCGGAGCCCTCAGCCTGTGCCTGCAGGGTTTTGGGATAAAATTCTGGGATTTTGGGATGAAATTCTGGGATTTTGGAGTCAAACTGTGTGATTTTTGGGGTGAAATCCTGGGATTTTTGGAATTTTGGGGTGAAATCCTGGGATTTTGAGGCTCTGGGAGTTCAGGGAGGGGGCTCAGCTCATCCCAGAGCCCTCAGCCCAGTCCTTGGGGGAAAAAACCGGGAATTTGGGATAAAAATCCGGGATTTGGGGAATTTGGGGGGGGCTCAGCCTGCCCCACCCCATCCCTGCAGTGTTTTGGGATAAAAATCCGGGATTTTGGGAGTGGGAATATCCCAAACCATCCTGATTTTTGGGAATCAGCTTTTCCCTGGTTCATTTTGCTCCATTTTAAACCAAATCTGGGAATTTTTTTGTGGGGATAAACCCTTGGAAAACCCTGGAGTTTTTTTGGGGATAAATTCAGGAATTTATGGATCGGGATCCCTGCTCCGGCTTCTTTCCCACACGGATTTGGGAATTCCCTTGGAATTAAGGGGGAATTTTTGGGGGTTTAAGGATCTTTCCTATCCCAAAGAATTCCAGGATTCCCTGGGCTGGTTTATTTGGGATTTTTGGGATAAATCCCGAGTGATTCCGTGGATTCCTCATCCCTGGAAGTGCCCGATTCCATCCCGGATCCCACAGGAATTCCCTGGATTCCCTTTCCCAGGGGAAAAAAGTCGGGAATGGGAAAAAGGATCCCCTCGGGACAGGGAATTCCCAGGATCCGGAATTCCCGGCCAAACCAGCTCTGCCACTTCCCGATTTTCCAGGAGTGGCTTCCCGTTAATCATTATCCCGCCGGGAATCCTCGGAGCTGGAATCGGGAGCAGCTTCCTGCAGAATTCCCGGGGAAAAAAAAAAAATCCCCGAAAACCAGGAAAAAATTCCCGTTTTCCCATATTTGGGATCGCTTTAAAGCAGGAAAAACGGGGGGGAAAAATTCCCGTTTTCCAAAGTTTCTGAGCCTGGGATTCCTTCCCTAAATGGGGTTGGAATTCCCAGCTGGAAAATCCCGCACAAAATCTGGGATAAAGCAGCTTTAAAGCAGGAAAAAGGGGAAAAAAATCCCCCATTTTCCAACTTTTCTGACCACTGGGATTCCTTCCCAAAATGGGTTTGGAATTCCCAGCTGGAAAATCCGACGGAATCTCGGTTTAAAGCAGGAAAAACGGGGGAAAAAATTCCCATTTTCCAACCTTTCTGACCCACTGGAATTCCCTCCAGGCCGTGATTTCCCACGGAAAACTGAAATTCCAGGAGCAGCCTGAAGGGTTTTCCCATCAAATTCCCAATTTTTTACGGAGCAAAACCTCGGGAATATCGCCGCAATTCCCGATTTCTCCCCGAATCCCAACAAATCGGGAACCCTTTGGAATTCCCGAATCCACCAAAATTTGGGATCTCGGGGAATTATTTTTTTCCTCCCCCCCCTCCCCGCGTTCCCACGGAGGAATTCCGGGAGTTTTGGATCCCGCTGGAATTTTCTCCTCGGATTTGCAACATTTGCTTCCCTCCCTGCCGGGGGCTGCGGCTCCGCTGCTTTCCCGGGAAAAAAAAACCGGGAAAAAACCCACGGAGAGAACGGAGAAAAGTGGGAATTCCTCCCTTTTCTCCCCGTGTTTTAAACGGGATTTATCCCAGATTTTCTGGGATTTTCCAGCTGGGAATTCCCAGTTTATTTTGGGAAGGAACCCAGTGGTAAAAAACGTTGGAAAATGGGAATTTTTTCCCTGTTTTTCCTGCTTTAAACTCTGCTTTTTCCCGGTTTTCTGGGAGATTTTTCCAGCTGGGAATTCCCGGTTTATTTTGGGAAGGAATTCCCACGGGCCGGCACCACCTGGATCCATCCCAAACCTCGGGAAATTGGGATTTTTCCCGGTTTTTTCCCCTCCTGGCTCCACCCCAAGCTCCCCCCGGAATTCCCGGGAATCGGCGCCTCCCGAGGAATTCCGGGATCGTTCCCGGAAAAGGGGAGGAATCCCAAAATTTTCATTTGATTCCCGTTTTTTTCCCAGCTTTAATTCCTTCCTTTCCCCCCCTCAGATTCCCAGGGAAGCAATTCCCAATTCCCAGATTTTTCCCGGATTTTGGGGACGTTTCTCTGATTTTTTTCCCCAGGTTTTTTTTTTTTTTCCCCTCCCTTCCCCCCTCGATTCCGAAGGATTTTTGGGAATTCCGACTCTTCCCAAAATATTTTCCCCTTCCTGGAGCTGGGAAAAAAAAGGGAAAAAAAAATCTCCTGGTTTGGGAAAATCTTGGGAAATTCCGGCCGGATTCGATCCCAATCCTTCCTCATTCCTTTTTCACCTGGAAAATTCCCGGGAAAAAAAAAAAAAAATGGAAAAATCTGGGTTTAAAGGCAGAAAAACGGGGAAAAAATTCCCATTTTCCAACGTTTTTTACCGCCGGGTTCCATCCCAAAATCAATTGGGAATTCCCAGCTGGAAAATCCTATGGAAAAGCAGGAAACGCGTCCAACATTTCCCTGGGAATCGCCCAAATTCCCGGATTTTCGGGATTTGGGTGAAATTTCCTCATTCCCAGCTCCGGGATTTTCGGGAATTCCCAATTTTTGGGGGGTGGGAAAGGCTGGGATCCCTCCGGAGATGCGGGAATTGTGGGAATGGCGGGAATTTCCGGAGCTCGGCCGCCCAATTAAGGCAATTAAGGAGATTTAATTAAGCCGAATTAAAGGAGTTTTTTATAGCCTCGTTAAGCCCCGGCCGCTTCCAGAGGGGCTGGAAAAGCCTCTGGAAAAACCTCTGGATCGCCCCCAGATGGGAATTCGGGCATTTGGGAATGGGAAAAACGGCTCGGGAATGTCAAATCCCGAAATTCGGGGGTTTTTCCGGGAAAAAAAAAACCGGGATTTTGTGGATAATCCCGAGGGTTAATCCCGGTTTTCCTACGGATCCGCCGGGAATGTTCAGGGCAGCGTCGGGGTCTGGGGTCTCCGGGGGGAAAAGGAGCTGGGAATGAGGCTGGAAAAGCCGGAAACGGAAAAATCCCGGGTTTTCTTCCTGGGATTTTCTCCCTTCTGGGGGCTCATCCCGGGGGAATTCCGGGATCTTCCAGGGGAAAATTTGGGATCCGATCCCAGGGAATGGGGACAGGGCAGGAGGGAACGGCCTCGAGCTGGGCCGGGGTTGGAAATTTGGGATGAGTTTCCCATGGAAAAAGGGTTGGGAAGCGCCGGGAGGGGCTCGGGGAGGGGTTGGGTCCCCATCCCTGGGGTTTTCCAAGGAATTCCTGCCAGGGTTGGAAATTTGGGATGAGTTTTCCATGGAAAGACGTTTGGGAAGCAGCGGGAGGGGCTCAGGGAGCTCAGGGACCCCCATCCCTGGAGTTCTCCAAGGAATTCCTGGATTTTCCTCCGGCTCATCCTCAAGAAAAGAGGGATCCAGGGGGAATTCCCAGCTCGGAATCGGGAATTTTCCCATGGAAAAAGGGTTGGGAAGCAGTGGGGGCGGCTCGGGGAGGAGTTGGGTCCCCGTTCCTGGAGTTTTCCAAGGAATTCCTGCCAGGATTGGATATTTGGGATGATTTTTCCATGGAAAAACATTTGGGAAGCAGCGGGAGGGGCTCGGGGAGGGGTTGGATCCCCATTCCCGGAGTTTTCCAAGGAATTCCCGGATTTCCCTCTGGATTTCCCAGCGCCTCCTGGGTGGGGGAGGGGCGCGCGTCATTCCCGGAATTCCGAGGAATTCCCGGATTTCCCGTTCCAGGTTGAGCAGCCTCTCCTCTTCCCTGGATTCCCCCTCGGAGCGGCGGCACCGGCGGCGACCCTCGGATTCCTCGGAATCCACAGGTGGGAATTCCGGCGGGAATTCCGGCCACGGTCACTCGGGGGTCACTCAGGGGTCACTCAGGGTCACTCAGGGGTCACTCGGGTCACTCAGGGGTCACTCAGGGGTCACTCAGGGTCACTCAGGGTCACTCAGGGGTCACTCAGGGGTCACTCGGGGGTCACTCGGGGGTCACCCCTGAGCCCGGCCTGCGGAGCCTCATTCCTTCCTCTTCCTCCTGTCCGTGTGTCCATGTCCGTGTGTGTCCGTGTGTGTCCGTGTGTGTCCGTGTGTGTCCGTGTGTGTCTGTGTGTGTC